CCCCCCTTTTTAATGACTTAATAATTGCTTAATCTTGCAGTTGGTGCGCTTGGAAACGAGCGTACAGATGTCTGGGGGTGAGTTGTTACAGAAACTGTTTGCTCGAATTAGGCAGAAGAGAGCAAAAAGCAGAGAGAGCTGCAGCTGGAGCAGGAAGAAAGGCTGGCAGCTGAACTGGCGAGGTTAAACCACGCGAAGCTTAAAGATGAGAAGATGAGGCAGCAAGTAAGGGAGAACAGGTATTTTTCTCAAAAACGTAACTACTACCTGATTTTAACTTCTGGATAACTGTCTGCTTTTGTAAAATAATCCTACTTTTGAAAACTGTATTTCTAAAACTATTCAGTCAGTGGTGCACCTCTCGCTCATTTTCATTTCTCTTGATCACGTTTAGGACTGAACCTTGTATCAGATGCCATAAGGTTATAGTGTCAGGTGCCTTCAAGCAAGGGAGAGAAAGGGGAAAGTTTAGTATACAAAGATCAGATATGTATTTAGTTACTAGCTTTTTTTTTAGAACAAGCTTTGATTTTTCTTTTTTTTATTTTTGCGGAAAAAACATAGGGAAAGGTAAGTTTTGACAAGTGGTTAGGAAAAGACTATGATCGTAGAGGATGCTCCAGATATAAACAAGCAATATCAGCAAGCAGTGTTGGGATGGATGCAAAGCAGACAATCAGGAGGAGGGAGGGTGTGACATTCAACATTTGAACAGAGCGAGATGATGCAAGACAGAGACAAGCGAGGCCCTATGAAAGCTGTAGCAAAAGAGGAATTGAATTCATTATCTGGGTTATTATATTGAATCCATTTCCACTAAGGTTTAGTATGTTAGTGCAAAAAGATGCTCAGTGATGATTTTGCTGTGATTACTTTGGATGACCAACAGCTTATGTTTTCCATTAAACTGTTTTGGAAATAGTCTTTTCTAACATAACTGTGAAACGAAGCATCTCTGATACAAGCTCTTGTTTCTCACCTGACTGCTGTACCTTTTGTCGCTCTGGGCTCTGCAAATTCAAAGGCTCTGATCTCCAGGATATGCAAAGAAACATTCTCCAGTGGTTTGGCTGCCTGGCTTATGTCAGTGTTCATTTTAACTTTGTATGCTGTTAGTGTGGGCCAGAATTTCACTCAAGAAATTTTGCTGAACAGGGCTATAAATTCAGCATATATTTAAAAAAAAAATCCTTTGTGCAGATCTTTGTTTCCGGTCTTTTCATCCTGTTACACATATGACATATCTCTGTTTATTTGCACAGCTGAAGAACATCTAACTTTAATTTCCTAGTAAGCTGTTAACACTAGCCTTACTAAACCTCTGTTATGGATTCCATAGAAATAAAGCACAGTATGAATCAACAATGAAGTACAGTAACAAATGTTTCTCAATTGCAAATATGTGTAGTTCTCACTGTAAAGTTATTTTAAATCAGTTAGAATCTGTAGTTCAGTTTTGAATTGGCTGTTCAGTGGTGGTCTCATTCTTTCTTTTTGTTTGAGGATTCCATCACATCAACTCACCTGTACAGAGATTTGATTTCTGAGTACGCTTTCAGGGATGGATCAATTTTTTCCTCACAGGTACCTACCTCTTGGAATAGGATAAATTTCTTCTTTCTTTTTTCCCAGTCTTGAACTTCGAGAGTTAGAAAAAAAACTGAAATCTGCCTATATGAATAAAGAGCGAGCTGCACAGATTGCTGAAAAAGAAGCTATAGAATATGAGAAAATGGTAATTAGTTTCATTCCCATTTTGTTCTGAGTAACCTCCAGCGTGCTATAACTCTTAGTATGGACTGTGCTGAGAAATTCTCTTTTGAGGCTGGTGGTCTTTTTACCTGAAGTATCATTAGGTTTAGAATTCAAGGGTTGTTACAAATTTGTTGTTTATTATAAAGGGGCTAATTAGCTGGTAATACACAGCCTCGAGAGAAAGGCTCACTTTGCTGGTGCAGTCACAGTAGCTGTATGAAGGGACGTAGGTTTTATTTCACTGGTTCTGTAATGATCTATCAAAGTTAAATTGTGGGACACAGTTGCAATGCCTTTGTACAGTAAGTGCTGTACAAAGCATTTCTTGTTGAGAATGCTTACCTCAGAAGCAGATTGTTGCAAGTGCTATTGCTATTATTAAATATTCGTGTTAATAACACTAGAAAAGAATTGTGAACTTTTGTGGAATAACACTGATGATCAGCCAGATGATTCTATTAATGTTTTATACAAAATTCAATTTAAAAAAATTGCTATAAAGAAAACGTTTTTATTGAAGTTGGTCTACAGAGTTAAACCTGCATTCCAGTCATTATTGCTTATGTGAGCTAGTTGCACTTACATGTTGGGTGTTCTACCTAGTCTTAGTGTAAAGCTTCCTTTAGGTACTGTTGTTAGCTCTGTTCAAGTTGTTTAGGTGTTCAGGGTTCTCTTCAAGGATTCTACTTATAATACCTCAATACACATTCTATATTTATAGATAGTTTCTTAAGGTAGAAAACATTCTTTCCTTTTTTGTAGTGTAGTATAATTCCTTTTCTATGTTTACTTTTTCATTGCAAGTTTTATATATGTATATATATAGACACATACACATATACACACAATTTTTTTTTTTTTAAAGAAACGTGAGGCAGAAATAGCCCAAAAGATGAAGGAAGAGTACGAAAGGGTAATAAAAGAAGAAAGTTCTGCAGAGCTGAGGCGAAACAAGGAGAAAATAATGTATCAGCAAGAGCTGGAGAAACAGCTTGAGGAACAAGAGAGGAAGAAGCAGGATGCTTATAAAGAGTTTCTAAAAGAGAAACTCATGATTGATGAAATCGTAAGGAAGATCTATGAGGAAGACCAAATGTTAGTTACTTTGAATTTTTATAATTTATTGATTTAAAACAAAAACTTCATAAAATTCTATATACTAAACATGAATTTGCTGTATTTATTTCACAGATGAAGGGCTGTTTTAACACATCATTTCTATTCAGGAGAGTTTCTTAGCCACATTTTATTAACAAGAGACTGACGTGCATGAATTTTGCTGTTTAAGAGACAGAATATTCTTGCCATTTCAGACAATTCTTATGTTTTTTCCCTAAATTTGAAGTTCAGCTAATTTAAGGAGTGTTTCTGTTGGGCCTATGATGCTAGAAATGACTGCATGTCACGTATTTCCGTCCTGCCTTGTGTCCCTGCCTCTTTGTGATCTGACTTTCATGCTTATGTTATGGACCAGGGATAGGAAAGGAGATTTTCATGGGTGGGGCAGATAATTGAGTGTAAACCCCTCCCCCTCCGAAAGTTAAGGGATACTATATTGAACACATCTGCTGATTTAAAAAATAAAGCCATTGGGCTTCCTTCCTCCTCCTCTTCCTGTTTGATGGAACGTGTAAGAAACAAAGTGGTACGTTAATAAGTTATTTCCACCTACGGAAGCAAGGAGAGTCATTTGAATCTTAGCCTCTGTAATATATTTTCAGTGATAACCGGATGGTCTGTTTAATATCCCACCGCAACATATTAAGTAACTGTTTTAAAAATTCAATTTTTTTTCCACTCTCCTATAGGGAAAAACAACTGAAGTTAGAAAAAATGAGAGCAACTCAGACATATATTGAAGAATTTAAAAAAGAACAAGCTATCTGGAGAAGAAGGAAACGGGAGGAGATGGAAGAAGAAAATAGGAAAATCATGGAGTTTGCCAACATGCAGCGACAAAGAGAAGAAGATCGGAGGGCTAAAGTTCGAGACAATGAGGAGAAAAAACTAAGACTTCAAAGCATGGTACTAAAAATTGAAATTTATAGGAAAAACAGTATATATTCTTGTATGTCATTTAGAAATCCTTCCTTCTTGTAATAGATTGCCCAGAGTCTGGAAAGAGAACAGCAGAAGCGTGAAGAACTGGAACAAGTACGACAAGAGCTGTATCAGGAAGAACAAGCTGAGACAGATAGAAAGAAGGAGATGGTAAGCGATGCCAGGTAGTTCAAGTAGTATGTATGTACCAAAAAAAGGGGGGATGGGGGCATTCCATTTTTCCTGGACTTTTCCTGTCAGATATGTATATGGGTATTTCAGAAGTAAAGATAATTTCCTTTGTTAGGTACTGGGATTTTTATATGCAGTGTGTATATTATGTGTACCCGTGTATAAACTGGTAAGGTAAAATCTGAATGGACAGGACAAGTATTGCAGTGTTGCTGTAATTCCTGCAGAAGACTCAGGTCAATGGAGCTGGTCTGGATGAAAAAGGAAAAAAAAAAAAAATAGTAGTGTATATGTAGCAAAATATATAATTCCTGGAGTACTTAGGGCTCCCAAATGTTTTTCCTTCTGCATCCTATGATGCCCTTCAAGGGGCAAGTATCATCCATCTCCAAAACTTTTATTTTAGTAACGCTGGTAGGGTTGTCCATGGGTTAGTGTCACTTTTACATTTCAAATTTTGCTATGTTTGCTGTGCTCTTAGTGGCTTTGGGATGGTTTTGAGGGGCTTCATTGAGACCGCTCTGGTCTGTGAGGTTTCTCAGAGCAAAAAGCATAACGCTCGCACAGTTCTAGATGTTTTAAATAACTGAATTTGAATTGTTTCCATTTTCTGTTCCGGCAAAAATGTAGGTTTCCAAAAGTCTGTATTTCCTAAATGTTCTTAGTCAGACAAGCAGTTTGTGAGCTAACTTAACTGGGGTGGGGCGGGGGGAACCTCCCCTCCTTTGAGTTTCCTCTGCCATCCCTAACGTATATTTATGTTTTTATTTCGACCAGGAGGAGAAGTGAAGGTAAAAGGGACCCTCATGGTCCCCTTTATAAATGCATCCATCTCATGAAGGAGAATCCCAGTAATGTTAAAGTTCAGGTTTAACCTAAGTAGGTTAATCAACTGCTTGCTTTTCACACGTCCATTTGCTTTTTTCCACATGCTGCCCTCTCCTTATCTTGTCTTGGGTGACAAATAAAATGTAACACAGACTCAAGTATATTAACACTGTTATTTTTAGAGAGCTGTTCAAGAGGACTGTCGTCTTGTTTCACTTCATACTCATAAAAATAATAATTCTCCTTTTGTTCTGGACTTAATTTTGACAATCTTGAGAGACTTGTAACTTGGCTAAACTGATTAATAATTCAGACTTCATTCTCAAATGTGAAGTGCTTGCATTTATTTATGCTAGAAGGTTATGGCTACAGTAAATTTATGCCACAACAAATCAGATAGACTGTCTGACAGTAATTAAAATTTTTCCAAAGTTTTTTCAGTAGATAGTATTTTATTGAAATTCCTTTATAGGCAGAAATTGAAAAGAGAATAAGGCAACGTCTAGACTTGAGGCAAACATATGAAGAACAATTTGCTTTAAAGAAGATAGTGCAACAAGCTATGCAAGAAGAGGAGGAAGCCTTCAGACAGGAGATGTTAGCCAAATTTGCAGAGGATGATCGCATTGAACAGATGAATGCTCAAAAACGAAGAATGAAACAGCTTGAACACAGGAGGGCTGTGGAAAAACTTATCGAAGACCGTCACAAACAATTTCTTGCAGATAAAGTAAGAGAAGTTATTTTTCACTTTTGCCTTCCGTTTGATATGTGATGTTGCAATGTGACAATATTTTTCCTGTCCTAAGTAACTATTACAAAGGCTATTGTTGATTAGGGAAAGGTGACGGGGAATTGCAGAGAATGTGCAGAGCAGGGTTTTGTTTTGGCTTACTGACAAGAAAGTCTTTTTAGAGCTGACTTTGTTCTGCTCAAGAGTCAGTAACACCTGTAGCTCCCTGTACAGATGATATGCTCTGTAAATATCTCTTAAAGAGGTATATGATCAGCAACACAACTGTCAGCGTCGCTGATCGGGCAACTGATAGTGTGTGAGAAGGGGGAAAACCCAGCCTTGATTTCAGTTGCCAAGTTAACTCTCTTGGATTAACGTTTGTAAAAGAAAACGCTTATATGTAAACTAAGAACAAGTCATGAGCTTTTATTTTGCAATTTGTGGACTTGTTTTTTAGAGTATAAATCATATGTGTAATATGAATTGCAATTTCTAGTCATCAGCATGAGAATACATGCCTGTTTTCCTTTTCCTGGATTAGAATATTAGGGTGGAAGCAGACTAACTTGTTTGAGAGCCAACAAAGAATCAGACCTTCACTTACTGATCTTTAAAAGGGAGTCCTAATAGGAGATTAAACGTTTACCTAACAGACTAGCCTTACGTCTTGCTTTTCACAGGCTCCCCTCTTGTCTGAGATTTTTTTCTAGTTACTCAGCATGGTTTGTTTAAATAGTGCTTTGTTTTTGACATCTACTTGTTCATCTTTTTAAAATGAATTTGCTGTGTCCAGGAGTTGGTGAATTCCTTGTAGACACTGCAGACCCAGGAAAGGAAGTGAAAGTTCAAAAATTTACTCCACTAAGAACAATTTCTATTTACACTATTGTAGATAGTGGTGGTGGAAATGAATGTTCACAGAACTGAAATTGAACAGTAATGAAAACTTGTTCACTGTAGGAACGTGAACTTGAAGAAAGGCAGCTAGAAGAAAGAAGACAAGAAAACATTCGTGTTATTGTTGAAGAAGAGAGACAGAAACTCCTGAAAGAGCATGCATCTAAATTATTGGGTTATCTTCCTAGAGTAAGTGAATTACTTTTTAAGGCTTTAAATGTTTGTTCTGCAAATCAATTTTCTCTTGGATAGTTTAAGGTGAGGTTGCAAAACTATGTAAATTACCTGGAATCAGTGGATGTCCTCATTGTGTCAGCCTTCCTGTGTTCACTTTTGCTCTTTTGAGCTGGGAAGCAAAGAATAAAAAGAACTCTTGCTGTACGGGGGGGCTTTGAAGGGCCATATTCCGGGACTGATGGCTTGTATGGAACGTGCTCAAAGCATGTCAGTGCAGCCCTTTGCACCTCAAAGCTTTTGGAACCTGGAATGGAAGCAGTTTAAAGCAGTTCTGTCCCAGCTAGAAAGGTCTCTCTGCTGTATCTTAAAGGCTGTTTGCACTAAATTTCTGGGTTGGAGTTTTGGGAGCAGATTCTTATAATGTCACCTGTCTTCTAAGTCTTCTGTGACCATGGAAATGAGGCCTCTTATCTGTAACAGTGCAATACACTGCAGTGCTTGCAGAGGAATTTCAAAGCTCACTGTGCATCCTTAACATTTTTGAAAGTTGAAAAGATGGAAGCAATTCCTATAGCATGAACAAACTACAATTCATTTTGTATTAACCTTCATAATCAGAAAGATCACCTGATAGTACACAAATGAACAAAATGCTGCTTTAGGAATGTAAAAATGAATTTACGCAGGGAGGGAATTCACCAGATAAAAATTATGCTTTGCACTGCATTAAAACTTTGATATGCTAATATGATGTGTGAATTTGTAAAACTTGGAGTTGAATTTTCAATGAGTCATTTTCCAGTGTAGAACCTAATATAATTACTCAATGTCATTACTTAAAGGCTTAATTGCTAATGTAATTATTTAAAGGATAACTCAAATTGGCACTATTTTGATATAATTTTCTGTTTTGTTTTGAGTTCACTGTTGTAGGAAGCTTTGGCTATTTCAGAACTCCTAGCTGTTGCTTGCTATTGATGTTCTAGTTTGTTCTTTTCTCCACTTCAACACGACATCTGAGTAGCGTGATCATGTTTCACAGAACTTCACTCCAAATAGTTAAATAGGATCCTACCTCGCTGAAGCCTCAGATACAAATACAATTTGTAATGTGTTTTCTAAAGACTGCAAGACATGCTCTGCTGGTCGTGCATTTTACAAAAAAAGGGGTGCTTTTCTAAAAATAATCTAAATTGAATCAGACAACTCCTGTTAGATTTAACTAATGTTTTGTGTACTGGTGTTAACTTTTTTTTCTTAAGCATTAGCTCTAAAATTAATAAAGTTTCAGCTAGAGGTTTAGCTAGAGAAACATATGATCTGTGTCCCACTGCTTCCCTTCTCCAAAATGCACTCACTTCTAAAACATAGTTTCTGATTAAGTTCAACATCAGCTACTTTGCAAAATAACTTTTATTTGCATGGACAAATTTCAACACAAGGAAAGGTGGGGACAAAGTCCTCACCCTAGCCAATGCCTCTTTAATGCAGTTGACGTGATTTTTCCTAAGCCTAAATCTGTGCTCTGCCAACTATAGTCACTTTTATTAGAAGCAGAATACAAGACGAATGTTGTCTTTTGTATAGCGCTAACACTAAAACCTTTACTGCCTTCTCGCCATCGTTTGTTGCTTGAAGAACAAAAATAGTTCTAGGTTAGCACCAAGTCTACTGATTAAAAACGCATCTGTTGGATTTTTGAGGAAGATTTCCAGGGCTGTCATTCTTCTTGAGGTTTTGACAGTCATAGAATTTGTTTTTAGAGGTAACACTAGTACCATAGATACAAGCTCTATTAGATGGCTTTCCACATAAAATTTCAAAGATCTGTCATAATCTCTGTACTTTGTTTAATCTTCCCATGTGTGTTTCTTTCCCCTTATTGCAGGGAATACTCAAAGATGAAGATGACATTAACATGCTTGGTGAGGAATTCAGGCTGGCTTATCAGAAGAGAAGAGGCAATACATTCTCAGCAAAGAGCTGAAATGCGCCCCCCCCCCCCCCCCCCCCCCCCAATCTCATCCTCTGGTTTGCCACTAGATGTCTTCTGATTTCTAATGAAAATTTCCATTTGCTGTTAGCAGTGAGGAGTTCCTTCTTAATGTTGTAAAAAGGGTCTCCATTTTAAGACTGGAGTTCTAAACTGATGAGCAGCTAGTTCTCTTTAAGTGTATGTTGTATTTTTTTCCATCAATAAACTATTTGTTATGGATTTCTCTATCACTTTACGTAAGACAATGAGGTTAGTATGGCAGCAATTTTTTTTAAAGTTTCTTTCTCCAGCAACTTTACAGAAACTTAAGCTAGTGTAAATTCAGATGTCTGTCTCAGTATGGACTATATGATTATCTTAAAGCACTATTTCTATTTTTAATTTGAAGATTTATCTACTATTGGTGTAAACTGTTAAAATACTAATATAAATGCAAATTGTCCCATCTGAAATGGCAGATCTGAGTTGATTGTTTCACTGCTAGTCGTGTTCCTTTGCATCTAGCAGGGTCTAAGTGTAAACAGTTTTCATTCTGAGGTCAGAATCATTGTTTGCTCCCCTTCTTTCAGTGATAAACCTGTCGCTTATGTTTCATGTTCCTATTAAATTACTCCAAGGGAGAAATCAGTTGAAATAGCTGAGATATGACAGGGATTCATGCAATGAACACACTTCAACAGCTTTTGTCCATTAATGTACGCACAGTATGTTCAGCTCATCTACACTCAAGCTTTTATCTAGTTCTTGATTATGATGACACTGTTATCAGGTCTTTAAGGAGGTACTACCTGTACAGCACCTGGAAAAACACAGCCATCACTCGAGACTGTATCCCGAAGCAGTATCTGATGGCTGGGGAAAGAGCCCAGCTTCTCATCATGACTAAAGAAAACAGCAGTTTTAAACAACACAACTACTTTGAATTAGGGCGCCTACTTGGGAGATTGAAGGGCAAGTCTCACGTGGTTTTGCCAACCAGGGTATAAGATGTAATTGCTAAAGCAAATCATCAGCGTTTCTAGACAAGAGCTGTCCTTGCTTACACTAGATTGCCAGTGTGATTAGCTTGGGCGGGGGGGAATCTGCAGAAAATAGGCAATACCAGTTATTTTCAAAACATTTATTGTTAAAAGGATGTTACATTTTCTTCTGAAATGGATCACAGGTTCCTTTCTTCCTGTTGCATTGAAAATTTTTTTGAGATTAAACACAGCCTTCTCTTTGGCCTGAATGTCACCTTCTCTAAGGCAGTTTTTAAATACTGAAACAGAAAAAACTGGTACCACAGTTTACTTGTTGGAATATTCCTTGCATGTTCTGTGATTGTCTGCTCAGTACAGAATGGACAATTTCAGGACCACTTCAGTAGAGATTTAGATTTCATAGGATATTACAACTCAGTATAAACTATCAAGGCTTTTACAAGTTAAACAATTTCAACATAAGCAAAATCAACCAAATATAGGTATAATTAATAGTGGGTACTTATCTACAGTTCCAAAATACTTGTATTTCAAGCAGAAATTGCTTTTTCATTGAATCAAGAATTTCCCCAGTCCAGAGCTTTCATGAATTCCTCTTCGGTAAAAGAAAGCATCTTGGCAGCTTCAATGTGCATCTTAAAGAAAATAAATGAAATTAAATTAGCTAGAAACAGGACAAAATAGCATGACTGAAGAATATAAACTCCTGTGTAGCTGGGATAGCTAAAGGCTGCTTCCAATTTTTTAAAATAATCTAGTTTGCTCTATCATTCTCCTGTTTCATATTGTGGTATTGATGGATGTTCACCTGTTCAAGCTGCAGCTGCTATTCATATTTTTCTGCAACAATGCTATTTTGTAGTATTGGGATAACATTAAAAAAGAGACAGACAGACAAGTGGAAAGGAAGGGGAAACATTTTTTTTGTGCTAAATATTGCAACTTCCGCTCTAGGAAACTAGGACCTGTAGCTTTTCCTTAGTTGCTTCCATTAGAGACACCTCAGTTTTAAGAGGGTATGGAAATTACTGAAAAAATCTGACAACTCTTGCTTGTAACCTCTTAAGAAAATTTGTACACTTTCAAGCTGATCAATATTCATCTCAACTTTAAAGCTGTTACAAAACAAATATATTATTAAGAGTCATACTCGGAATGCTGTCACTTCTTCTAATGCATGTAATTTAGCATTAGATTAGTATTTTAGCAAAAGAGGGTACTGCCATTATAAATGAACATAATCTGCATAAAACAGTAACTGCAGTACACCATGAAGAGTGATACCTGGTGCAGACCACTGGTTGATGTGTGTGTGTGTGTGTGTGTGTGTGTGTGTATACATCATATAGCCACAATCATTCATGGCATATAGGTAGACAGACAGATATGTATACACATATATGTGTAAAAAATCATGACTTTTACCTACAGTAGCCTGGATTCTGTATTTCTACTATGTTGGGTATAGCACAGTACTTTAAATGGAACAAGTATTAGCCAAAACCAACTTTTTAACTTAGAACAGAGCTATTTTCTGATCAAGAAAATGTAATTACTTGGAACAGTATCAAGGTAGTAGAAGCGAAAACAAGCATTTCAATGGGTAGTAAATGCATACTGCGCCCCAGAACAAACTAGCCATCGAAAAGGGACATAAGCCAGAAAGTCCAGAAAGCTCACTGGATTCCAAATGATGGGAGCAAATGTCCCACCTGTTCCACTCATCCTCACATTGAGAGTGACGAATAATCTTTTAACCTATACACATTTAAAGTGGCAAGGAAAGTATCCCATCTAAATAGTTTTTAATTTAGAATGTACTTTTTAATAAGATGGTTATGTTTTGAAGCACTGGAAACAGCTGGGGTATACAAAGGATCTGAATTTTTTTTTTTTTTACATATATATTGTCACTTCGTAACAAAAAAGAAGATCCAACGCCCACCTGTAATACAACACCCTCCAGGCTCTGTAACGCTCAAAGTAACATCCCTTAATCCCTTCTTAAAACTAAGATTTTTTTCTTTGAAATTCTCATTTTCAAGGCAAGCAGAGAATGGTCTAAGACCAATTTGAACACCAGCAACTACTTGCTGCCAGCTGCAACTCATCCTACTACTGATCTTTAAGGCCTTCTTGAGAGCTTCTCTATCATTCTTCATGTGGTAGCATAACCTCACCTTCAGGCTATCTGTACCTGCCACATGCACCTGAATCTGGCAGACAACTATCATACAGATGGTCCAAACTAAGTTTTTCTGATGAATTCAACAAAAGACTTTGGCAAACTAAATTGAAGTTTTTCAGGTGATTATGTATATTGGTCACATGTGCGCTTTGGCTGCCCTTCTGCTCACCTCCTACCAGAAGTTATAAAAGGCAGAGTTAGTGCTGTCCTCTTTCAGTTTCTTCAGTCTGTTTGCAAGGCTGAAAGTTAACAGCATCCATTTTCTGTAAGTAGTTAAGGTTTTTAATAGCAAAGCATAAGTAGCTCCCTCTACTCTATCTGCAATTCTGATACAATGTTTATTTGTTTGTTAAATAGATTTCCTCACGTTTTGTAAAGTTCATCTGAGGCTATGTTTTTGATTCACACTAGAACAGAACTACTGTCCTTTGATACCCATTTCAGTGAATTCATGCGCCAGAGAACGACAAGCTAGTTTGTGTATATTTTGAGTGATTACTACGTAGTTTTCATTCTTAAACTTCAAAAGCTAGAAAGGCCAATGTTAAGCTAAGACCATTCCCATTAGATGAATTCCCAAGCTCTCCTCTACATCTTGTTGCTGGCAGGAAAAAAAAAAAAAAAAATCTCTTCTGCTGGAAGCGCGTTAGTAGCCCCAGTTCCTCTTTTAAGTTGTTTCCTTCTATCCCCTACAAAACCTGGGCCATCAGCGGACGAGTCAGGGCCCATACACCTCCCTTCAGGAACGCTAAAGAATGACTTCCACCCCCAGAACGTCAGAAAAGGGAAGTGGCTCTCAAATACTGCCATTGAAAGAAACAGACCAAAGGTGCTACGAAACTGGAGGATCAAAGGTGTCTTTTGGTAGAAGACCTGTTTTCATATAGGAAAAAAAGCAGGCTCTGTTCCTCTTGCAGGCCCCGGCCATACAAATTGCCCCGTCAGGAGGAGGCCTCCCTGGGTCTGGCAAGCAGCCTGGAGACAGTAACGGTGAGCTGCAGCAGGTGCTGCTGAGGTATGAAGCTCTCAGCCTAGCTATATTAAGTTTTCAAGATAAGAGCACCAGCCCAATACTGGCTTCCCAACTGAGTGAGAACAGTTATACCCTTAGTTCTGCAGGACACTAACCATAAAAACCCAACAAGTAATAAGCGACCTGGTCAAGGAGCTGGAACCTGGAGGGAATGGAGGATGGGATAAAGTGTTTGATTATAATAGTGTCATAAGAAATACAAGTAGAGAAGTAATTTGCTGAACAGATGAAATGACTTCAGGAACACTTAAAACTATTTATAGGCATTCTGGAGATTTGTTTGGAACAACCATGGGACTGGACCATAGAGTGCTCATTATGAATGATGTGTCTTGTATGGAAAGGACAGGCATAGAAAAAAAGAAGATTCTGTACTGCAAGAATGCACTTGGCTCCCAAACTGAACAAGATCTGATAGGAGCATCTCAAAGTGAATATAAAAGGAAAATCTGAACTGATCATACTCTTTCAAAGCATGATTACCTCTGCTGGTATGACGTCTCCAAGTTTCTCTACAGAATGCAGATTGCTACCCCTCTAGAAAGCAGCTGCAAATTCTAATTACTGCTCTCAAACGTCATTACAAGCTCCTATCAGTATAGTCAATATGCAGCACTTTAACTAATAAATAGTTCAAGTCTGCAGACCCTAATCCTCCAGTATTATCTAAGAGGCACAAACTGTTACAGGAGATTTACCGTCTGAGATAGTGAAGTTTTTGGTTCAAACAAGTAATACGCAGCAGACTCAGAACTGCAGTCCATTTTTTTCCCCCCCTCCTAAGACTGGTGCTACCCTGGAAGTCTCACGAGCTTTCTCTGTAGCTGTTTTTTTGTAAGCAATATTTAGAAACTCTTACTGGAAAACAGGTATCCTGAAAGAGGTGCATGAAAATTCTTTTTAAACAGGTTAATGGTGTCAGTATTACCCAAATGGGTATGTCATCAATTTCAGGCTTACCCCTACTGCTTATCCTCCTTTGTCCCTTGTTAGAGATGTATGTCAAATTCAGCAGTATGTTTCCATATTGCAACTCTCCATTCTTAGACAAAGTATCTGCACTTTGCCCTGTGAAATCGCCACTTCATACACAAACTCTTCTCTGTGGAGGTGCAAAAGTTCCAAGAGTGTTTACAAAATGTTTGGTGATCACTGCAGCACTCTGAAGGGTAAATGCAAATAGTATTCTCTTTTCTTATCTCAAAGGCTCGCTCTTCTAAGGTGCTCAACAAGTCACCATTCACTGCATTCTTCAGCAGTGAAGGTGTGAGAGTACTTAAAGAAAAGCCGAAACTTCAGCACAGAATTTATCAACGGTGTTCTTCATTCTACCACGCTGTCCAGTAATACCTGCACTGATCAAGATTCAGCACAGTAAGCAATCGGAAATCAACTTCTCTATGATGTTATGATGTTAAGACCTCATCTAGAGAAGTCTGAAGCACACAGCCCGCAGATTTTCATTCTGCAAATAACTGCTGGAGCTCAGTGACTCACCTGCGTCACGCAGCCTTACGAGGAAAATCAATACAAATGATAGCGGGCAATCCTAATGCACTGCTTTTGTAAGTGAAAGGTGTGATGAAACTGTAAGACCTAGATGAGATAGTAAGTGGAAAGATTTCTTTGGTATGGGCAACCTCTCTTGGTATATGCTCCTTTCATTCTAATCGCCTTACACGAAAACTTACAGATCTTTCAATTTGTGCCTGCAAAGCTCATTTGGCAGCTCTATCATGAAAATATATATTGAGAAATACAAGGTATTTATCCATTCTGCAGGGTCCAAGGTGTCTCTTCCCAAGTAAAACACCCCACTTTTGGGGGACGTTAGTGGAGCTTTGCCAAATATGATAGATCACACCTAAAAAAATCTTTAACCATCTGAACTACAAATCCACTGTTCACTATGACACTTTTCTATGAAAGCTGTAGCACTAATTACTATCCCTATCCTGTACAGGAGAGATGATTAATATATAATTGAAAAATACTATTTTTTTCAAAGAAGTAGACAGTTAGGACTCGTCCATTCCTTATTCCTAAAACTGCATCAGAACTCCATAATTACACTATTTACCTTTTTTTTTCTTTTTTAAAACCACATACTAGTCATTCAAAAAAGCAATTTTATCTTTGATAGAGCAACAAGAGAGTATGCATACAAAAAAGAAACTTAGAATTTCCTCAAGACTGCACCAAATCTTAGATTAGATAAAGTGTATTATTTTCATCAGATTACTTAAACAAGTTGTAAGCCATCTTTCCTTATTCAATTTGTCTCATTATCACAGTTCATGTAGTTTCCCTTCCAAATCTTTCCAATTCCAAAATATGTGATTAGCCACAGAGAACGCTGTTCATATATTATGCTGAAGAAGAAGCAGGTAGAGTTAACTTCTCCTTCGGTCCATAATTGCTCAAGATTTTGGTATGCCACATCCTCACTTGAACCCACTATTCAAGGTTGATCCTCAACAATGATGTTGAGCAAGTATTCTACCAAAAGCCTCTATTCAATTTCAGCTTCAGCTGCTAACGAAACTTAAAGGCAATAGTCCCTGGCCCTCCCTTTTATGCCCTGAGAAAGAAGAAAGGAGGGAGATAAAAAATGAATGTAGACTCAAACGATTAGCAAAACAGGGCTATTTGGAAGTGCAGTGTGGATGGGAACGCCCATGCAGCCATGCAGATGTTACTATATTGTGCGATTCCAGGAATATTCCATGACATTCCAGGAATTACAAAAGGATGGAGGTCAACTCCTCTCCTTCTGTCTAGTAAATCTATACTTAGTCTAAATACATATATATATACACATATGTTTTGACACACAGGGAGATCTACATCTGCGTAGAAGTGCCTATATACAGAACCCTGGAATATAAATTACCCAGAGGCAATGAATTCCTTAGCGTTGTCCTAAAGTTACTAGTAAAGAAGGACAGACATTGAGGCAACGCATGAAGAATTTAGGCCTGAAATGTAATAGCTTCATCTTGAGAGGGCATTCTGCAATAGCTGCTGATATGGCAATATGTTGAATGAAAAAAACTTGCACGCTGAAATGGATTATACTGACACAGCACCACAAGGAGCTTGCTGTTATGACCTGCACTGTATTTGTTCTTGAACAAATAGATACTCTTGGCCCCAAAGCTTATCAGTAGTGGGCTTTCACTATGACAGGATATGTTCCAAGTTAAGAACGGCGTCAATTTAAGAAAGGATCAGCCTTTCCTATAAAGGAGAATGGTGGCAACACGCACTAATGAAAGTGAGGCTGAAACTTCCTGGTGTCGGGGCTCTGGTTATACAGTATGTTACTTGACAACTGACACATTCAGCTTACAGTTGTTAATTGAAGTATAACGGTATTTGGGTTCTTACCTTTTGTCTCTTTAAAATATCAATTAACTTTAACTGCTTCTTAAAACCTGTCATTAGCTCTCCTTTTTGTTTCTGCAGTTTCTTGTTTTCTGTTTTTAATTCTTCAATTGTTTTGAGTTCTTGGTTAGCTGCATCCTACCGCAGGGTAAAAAGAAGAAACTTATTATTCTCAAAGCAGTGCTTTAACCAGTGAAATTTGGCATACCATAACAAAATGACAAACAGAAGCCACATATGACATTTCAGAAAAGAAACAGAATGCATCAAAATATTCTCTCACCAAAACCTAACAGAAAAACTCAGAGAGAACAATACTTATTGGCACTATTGAGGAAACACAATATACATTTATATTGTTTCTCAGTGTATGTATGAGGCATGTATGTGTATTTCTCCATCTTTCTAAACGCATCTAATTTTCAAGCAAAAGGGAAAAATACAGACAATGAGTTTATCCCATGTATTTTTACTGCCAGCATAGATTCCAGTAGTATCGTCAGAGATACTGAATCAAGCTGTCTGGTGACTTACTACAGGTTAAGTTTGGAATTGTCTATAACAGATACAATACTTCCAAAGCTGATCAAGCCTTTTGCCTCATTCTAGCATTTTTGAGTGATTACAGATTGAAATTTGTTTTTCTAAGCCACTATACCTTGTTACTTTGCTTCAGTTTATTCAGCTCTACTTTATACCTTTCTGCTTCTTCCATGGCCCTATTTAAGCGAACTTCTGTTGCACTCTGACTGGTTGAGGCCTGCTTTTGTACACGCTTTAGATTCTCTAATTCCTACGTAAGAAGCCAAAGAGAAAAAGAGACATTATGAATAATGGTATGTAATGGATCCCATGTAAGCAATACATTTACGTTAAGGCCGATTCTTGAAATTTTGCTGTGGACTTCTTTGGCCTGCAAACAGAATCAGTCTCTAGGTCCCCTAATTCCACCGTTATAACATCTTCCTCTTTTTCTTTCTTCTTGAAAATCTTGAAAAGCTATCTTTCCAAGCTTTAATATTCTCTTTGAATATTGTGGAGCTGATCATGTGGGACCACAGGACTAAAAAACTTTGTGTGCTCTGTCAGAAAAAAAATGTTCTATGCCCAATCTTGTGACAGATTTTGGAACAGTGACTAGTATCCCCAGCTGCTTTTTTCCACCCGTTCCTTTTGCCTCTTTTCCCCAGAGATTACTGCAAATCAGTAATTACCATGAAAAAGTTAAAAGCCTAATTGAAGATGGCTAAGGTGATAACTATTTCACCCAGGAGAAAATAGTTCAGGTGTTTATGGCAACAGTCAACATAGTTCCCTCTTATCTCTGATGGTAGTATTTCACAGTGCCAGGAGTGAGAAAATGAGAAAAAGAGACCAAGTTGAGGAACACAGTAATGAGATTAGAGATCAGGGAATGCAGATAAAAGACAAAGTAAAAGAAATAAAAGAAGCAGTTTTGGCAGAAAGAGCACAGCCTGTCATTTGTGGAAAAGCAGTAGACTTTCTTTTTCATCCTATCAAACTTTTAGTAGTAGACAGGTTCATTTAACCAAAAGGGGGTAGAGAGGGGGCCGGTTTTAAGCCTTTTACCCTCAGGCTATTTTGTTTCTGAGCAATTGTTCCATTTTCTCAATTCCACACGAGCACTTGCAGTGCTTATTTTAAACTTCCACATCACTTATCCTAGAAATACATTTTTAATACGCTTATATTGTATAGCGTACAGGTCAATGTCTAATTGACAAATCTATATGGCAAAAACATTTTGGCAAATTATGACAGACCACGTGTTTCTGGAAACCTTTGTATCTTCTCCAAAACGGATGAAGAAAATAGGAGCAATGGAAATCCAGAATAAGATGCATTTCATTAATCCTTCAAAATTCAATTGATGAGCGCGCCTCCTCCAAGAGTTCACAAAAACAGCCTTTGTTCTACTACATTTTGTCGATAACCTGTTCATCTGATTGGTAAGAGATGGGTAAAAGATTGGACGGTGGGGCAGTGGAGTCCCTCCCCAGAGCATGCACATAACATTTTCAGGGAAAGCAAATTCATTTGCTAGAAGCTGACCACCAGGTTTCCATAGAAAACAAGCTGCACGGGATGCACATCTCTTCATCCTGTATCAAGATAATGGAGCTGTGAATATGGTCAACTAAATCTTTACTGCTAGGTACTGCACTCTGCAGTGATCCAAAAAGCTTTGGAATAGAGCCTTCCAAGCATTTCATGTCATTTAATTAAAGAAGTGTAATCATTCTTTTAAGGCTTTTTGACATTTACTGTCGTACATAATACCTTATCAAGGATATTTTGTAAGTCATCCAGTGAGGGTATATTGTTAAATATATTTGACTCCAACTTTTTCATCTTAAAAATGCCAAAAATAAGCATTTTATTTCCTAACTAGGAAAGTTTTCTGCCAATTCTTCTATACTTTAAAAGTTGGATTAATTTTCTCATATACTGTAACTACTATGTTCCAAAACTGCATCCCACTTCAATCTCTTGCTTTTCTCCACTGTTTTGGCATGGCTGAAGCACTTGAATATCAATAGGCGTGCGATGCCAGCGAGTGAATCTGAGTAACCTTCTAGCACGCTTTCTTTCCACCCGGAACAAGCACATACGGCACTTTACCTTTAGAGAACGCTCTGCAACTGCTGTCTCCCACAAAGCTCTTCAGAGCTAATGTTTGCCTAACATCAAGCCCTTCTTCATGACAAATTATTACATTCCCTGCACAAAGCCTTAAAGGAATACGTGCAAAATGTAGGTGTTTCCATGACCCTTGTGAGAGAACATAGAGAAAGGAATGTTGCTGTAGCTATGAAGGTCAAAAAAAGGCAGGAGAGGTGATACCATTTACTAGAGCAACTAGATGGAAAAAGGGGAATGCCAGAAAGTAAAAGAAAGACAGAAGTTTGGGGGAGCATCAGAAGTCAGCTGGTGCTGAGGTGGGTGCGTTCCAGCAGAGAGCTCTGGAGACTCCAAACACCCAAAGAATGAAATGTAAAAAGAGCAAACGAATTACCATGTTATTTCAGGTAAACTGTGAAAACTAAGTGAGACCCTTTGTCTAGCTACATACAAAAACGCAGCTGGAGGAACAAAGAAGCCGTGTTAGTTGTTGAAAATCTAACCAAGCTTAGGAAAGCATGTATCTCAACTTAAGTTTTCCATTATTTATGTCACTACAGAAATCACACTTGGACCTTCACCATCTATTCAAACAATTAGTTCAGACAACCACAAGCTGGGTATCACGTAACATGTGCACACATACACACAGTTACAAGCCTGGGATATATACTGATATTAACACATTTGTAAACACATTAAGATCTTTGTTTGCGAAGGATACTGACAAGACTACAAATAAAAAATGAACTTTCTTAATGAAATGGTAACAAAAGCCCCTCCTAAAAAATAGAGGTTATGTTGGGCTATCCGAACTTCACAGAAAAATTTCTCTAGATTGAAAGTATCAGTCTTGAGAGTTTAGCAGGACAGCAGCACAAATTCAGACTCCACTCACAGAAAATTCTTTTTAAACACCTACCTAGAATTCATCTACAACTATAAATTATGTAGCACTGAATAATACCTCATACTTAAAGTTAACAAAACAGTTTTCAGATTGCAAAATCCACAGGAGATTTAAGCAGTTACTGCAAGATGATTCTTTAAATCCATGTTTTCAGGCTAGTTAGAAAAGTTTTATATCAAAAGAAATATTTAAAATCACTTCTGAATCTGAAGAGAACCATTCACTACATATACTGTACAAGCGTGCCTTTTCTGCCTCCCCTGTATTTTAAAGAACTACCGCTATTTGTCATGATCATGTCTAACAAGTGACCTTGACAAAGCCCTGAAAATGCAGCCTACTGGGAATAACTGAAACAACCAAGGTTGGTAAATCGAGCAAAGACAACTGAGGAAAGACGGTGTGTTCCGGATACAGTAGCTGTACAGCAGACAGGAATAAACCTTTACCGCATCCATTGTAAGCAGGCTGCATAGCATATTTTGAAAGAAGGGACATCTCCTAAGCATTGGGAGAAACGTTCCAACTGTGACTGTGTACAAGCAGCAGCACAGATTGTCTGAGCAAATCACGAAAAATTGCCATCACTGAAGGTTTCAAGAAGAGGTTAAACAAACTTATGTCCAAGATGATGGTTCAGATCCAATCTGTCCTGTTTTGGTTTAAGAGAATGGACTGAATGACTTTTTAAGGTCTCTTAGCCCTATTTTCTATGAGCTCAAGAGTAGAATAAGTACTACTATTCAGTATTTTTTCCTGACAGAATCAATAGTTAGGATCCCTATTTAAGTGAATTGAAACCTCAAAGTATCCGCAAAAAAAGAACACTCCAACTAAACACATTCTAGTTTTAAAATTCCAATACTGCCTACTGTTAAGATGAAAGCATGCCTGTACTGTTGCACAGTAATATTTAATGGAGGTATAAATAAGACTATTAGGCTAAGGGTCGTGTTCAGTTTTCCACAATCTTTTAAATGATGCATTATCCTGGTTATATGACATGTTTGATTTTTGAACTCAGCCTCTCTAGCTCTGAGCAATTAAAGAAGAAACACATGCTGTTCTTAGATTAGGTTCCAAACAAATAAAGCTGAGTATGTGAGCCATCTGCTATAACTAGGCACATATACAATTTTGCATATGTGGCCTACAGTAGGAGCCAGATTGATTTTGATTCATCCAAACTGGAGTGGCTGGTTTTGAAACAATCCATTTTCAAGAACAATTAGACCTCCTTTTCTCCACCTCCAGAAATTATTAATACAGGCTGGAGGTGATTTTTTTCAAACATTCAACAGGTACTACAGTTACAATAAAACTATTATTAATAGAAGTAATTTTTAATAATTATAATTAAAAACCAGAAAAATAAAATTTCCTTGCATTTTTTAAGATTCCTCCTTTGTGAGTTGGACTGCAGTTTCTGAATAGGTTGCTCTGCCTCTTGTGGATCTTTTACAGAAGAATTTAATTTAAAAATACAGAAAAATATGGTTGTAGAAGCATAAGAAAAACAATTAACAGATTTTTTTTCTTTTAAGAATACAATTTCTAAAACTATTATCAGAGATAGAAATTTTAATGAAATAATAGTCGGACAGGAATCTGTAAAACTCAGGTAAAGACAGTTATTTGATGCTTTTTATTCCTTTTTTGAGCTAAATGAGAGTAATATCTGCAATACCTTTTCTAGTGCTGTGACCTCCTGTTGTAATCCTTCACTTTTTTTGTTTGCTTCTTGTGACAGCATTTTGTACTTTTCAATCTGAGACTGCTGCATATTGATTGTTCGTTGCAATCTAGTGTTCTCTTCCTCAGTATCTTTAAGCTGAGATTTTACATTCTGATTTTCATCATCCTGTCGGAGAGTAATTAGGAAATTAAAAAAAAATTGAATGTTGCAAGGAAGCAGTAGGATAATGTGATGGTAATGTTTCGTAAATATAAGGCAATACGAATGTATGTATTGTAGATATGATGATAACCAGTACTACTTTTTCTAATTATGTTTTTTTTAAAACGGTAAGATGCTTCACGATGGATTTCACAACACTTTGAAAAAGGAAACAATTAGGACCAAAAAAAATTAACAAACCAAATCCTTAGATCCACTGTTTACCGAGGCAGTATTTTAGAAACCAGAAATATTTTTCTCATTTAATTTTCTACAGTCTTTGACTCGGGACTGGCTTGTAGTATGCAAAACAAACCTGATCTCCCATAATTCAAAGCTTACGAGTACTCACTATCAAAATGTTACAGAGTAATATGAATAAGAATGGCACATAGATATTTTCTGACATTTTCGTGATAAAAGCTAAAAGTACACATTAGGAAAAAATCTGTGAAAAAAAGAGAATATAATTACTGATAAATCAATCCATTATGTAGCTGAAGATTAGCTGGTTTCTACTTAAAAGCCAGCTAACGTTCCAGGGAACATCAAGTATTCAAATGTAGGTTTCAGTTAGCATCAAGGGAATCCTGTATTAGCTTCATGACCTACTGACAATTACATCCCACTTCAAGTATTACAATTCAAAGGCATTTTTCTTTTATAACCTTTTAAATATTATAAGTGAATATTAATGTAGGAAAGTTCACAGATACACTAAGCCCTTCATTTCTTTTTTAAAAAACAGGAATCAAGGCACACGCTAAAATGGAGTTTCTGTGAGAACAAGTCTTTCGCTCCTACCCTCTAATCCCCTAGGATACACGTGCTTTACCACAAATACCAGCTGACTGAACGTACCTCAGGAACCCCTTTATATTTAAAACTGATCTATTGCTTCCTTATAAAAATTGTACTATGAATTGGAACAAAAAAAAATCTGTCTCAAGGCATCACACATGAAATTTGTGTGACCTTTAGAATGCAATACAGTTATTTCCACACCACACAAACCACTACCCAAAACGATACGTTTACATGCTCTGTGCTATGGAACCGAGAGAACGGACACAAGGCTTTCTTCTGTCATCTGATACAGCCTCTGAGCTCAGTAGTATTTTTGACATGGAACAATGATAAAGTTCAATAACTGCTGACAAAATGGTAATTGATTTGAAAATGAAAAAGTCTCTAAAATCTACTGAAACTATTTTCTTTCAATCACAGCATAATGAAAGTATGAAAACGTACAGGCAGTCGTACCGACAAAAATGGAATAATAAAGTATCAAGGACAGATTTAAATATCAAAATCCAATTCCTTCTAAAGAACTTCTCTAGATATCCACCCCCAAAAACCTAGTTAACATCATCCTGCTCCTTAACCTTAAATCAAAAGCTTGCGAGAAAACACATGGGTCTTGCTGTATGTTCTGAATGTCATCGTCATATTTGGGCCTGGAGACTAGGCAGCAAAAACATTCTGAAGTTAAGAGACCACAGCTAAGAATAATCCAATTGTGAGAAATGGAGAATTAGTTCAAAAACCTTGCTTGATTACAAATACATGAAAAAGAGGTGATCCCTCAGGCAGGTGGACCCAAACCATTTAAGGTTTTACAGCTCAACAGATGTTTAACCACCACCTGAAAACATACTGCCAAACACTGCAGACCATAAAATTCACTTGCAGTACGCTCTGTTAGTAAGCTATCAGTGTAGCTTTACTCTGCCCTAACTTCAAATTATGATCTGCCCAAACACAAAATCCCAAATACAGTCCTTGCAGCAAGTGTAATCTTGAAAATGGAGAAGCCCTGGTTTCTATTCTGGTTATAAAATCCCACTTAAATTGGACCACAGGCCAGCAGTTCCCAAACTTTTTTCTGCCAAGGACACTCATGGTATGTAAGTTTCTCAAATGTTTTTACTCCTCATTCTGCCCTAAACATTCCTCTTCTCTAGTCACTCAGCTCTGGACTCCACTCAACTTCTCTCTGTACCCCAAATCTGTATTTGATGGCTACCATCTCCTCCTCCTCCTCCTTTTCAGGCTCCGATAATGCTCCCTTCCCCAGCAGTGCTGGAGAGGACACCCTGCAGCACTACAGAGTCCCTGCACTGTGGCATGTCTTCAGTCCTAATGGTGCTTTCCTGCCTCAAATTCATTTTCATGAAGCGTATCTGACAAGCTTCTAGTCCAAAGATCACATTTATACAGAAAGTATTATTCCTGACTCTAAATTCTTAGGAAATTTTAAAAAATAGAACTTTCTCTCTTGAATATCTGAAGATGAAGCAACAAAAAAATCCTAGCAGAAAACCTAACGGTGAAGGAGACCTACTGTGATTACTGGTAGACATACTCAGTTTCTACTGATAAGAAAACTCAACTCTTACCTTTTTCCTGCATTCACACACTACACTATCCAGCTCTTCCTGCATAACACGTAACTTTGCCTTAAGAAATCTGATTTGAGCTTCTGTGAACATAAAAAGTTACATTTGATATCCAATCTAAGTACTCTCTGAAATATGTAATGCAGAAGAGATAGTATCAAGCGGGACCAAAGCAAGAACAACTCATTTTCATCTTCTTGTTTTTAAAAACACAGTACAGTGAATGTTTACAATTGTTAAGCAGAAATAGGCAAATTAAAACTCAATTTTCCAAATAAAATCATCTAAGTTTCTCATTCTTAGGCAAAGCTCTGGACAGATTTTTCTTTTTTTGATGACTGAACTCAGCATCTTTAAAATGTAAAAGACTAGTAATTCTGAAAGTTGAAAACTAATAGCAGCGTGTCTACACTGCAATCTATCTTTTGCTGCAATTTGTGTAGTTACACCCAAAGTAATTTTAAATTTCTCACAACAAGGAATTACATGTAGATTACAAAACCCTCTTCAAAGGTAAGTTAAACACCCTTCCATTCAGTAGTCTATGCTGTTGTAAGTGCATTGCTAACAACATTCAATTACTAGTTTAAAATTAAACCAGTCGGATCAGATATTTTTCCAAATGAAGTACTTTCTCGCTCTTCGACAAGTAAGAAATATACTAATGGCATGAGAAAACAAGCTGCGTGGGAACAGAGTATGTTCTTCTACTCCCCGTTCCCCATCCTTTCCCCAGATCGCTCCTGAGGAACTCCCTCTGAACTGCCACAAGCACAAAGCATGCAAACAATATGAGGGTCAGGTTGAGCTACATAGGAAAAAGCACTATTTCTAGGAGATTATTTCTAGCAGTAGATTCTAGGGTAAAGAATAAAGCGGAGGAGGAGTATCTGGAACAGAATGTGAAGGGATGGGTATCAATATGCTTCTGCTTTGGTATTTGTCAATTTGCTTATAATAAGATTTTTTTTTACTGCTCCCACCTTCCCTTATCAACTGCTGATTGCAACTTGTTTCCTAACTCTCCAGAGGCCAGCATAAAGTAGCAATTAGGGAAACATGCTGAAAAAATAAGATATAAACAGATTGTCTTTTTTCCTCCTGTCACATCCTTGCTAGCTTCTGGCAACTAGTGGTTACAGACTTCCTGAGCTGGGACCATATTCAAGCCATCAACTTTAATAGCCTTTGATGTACCTCTATATGATTAATTCATCTAATTTTCTTCTTGAAACATGTTATAGCTTGGCATCCACAGCATCCCGCGACAATGAGTTTCCCAATTTAATTATGCAGTATGTGAAATAAAGCACTTTGTATAGGTGGTTTTAAATCCAATTTAATGTGGTATTTGCTAGTTTTTGCATTACTAAAAGACAGCTTTCCCTTTGCTATTAGTGATTTCATTATAGAATCTTTCATATTTCCCTCAATCAATTGAAGATTCAGATTGAAGTTGTTTCATGCTTCTAATTGTTATTATACTACTACTTGAATCTTTCCTAGTCCTATATCCTGGTTTTTGAGATGGGGTGAGCAGAACTGCCATGCCTTACTCAATTATACAGTAGCATAATGACAATAGTACAGTACTTTGTTTTCTGTTCTCTTCCAAACAAATTCGAACAATCACTTTGCCCTTTCTACTGTGAATGAGCAATGAGCTTACGCTTTTGGAGCTGCCACACTTTGTAATAACTAAATGTCCATAGAGAAGTAGGTATAATAAGGTTGGGGTTTTTCCTCTCAGCACTACTTTGCATTCTTAAATGCTGACTATAATTCTGTTTTATCACCTCATTCAGTACTATGAGAGTCTTCCGCAAAACTTCCATGTCAGTTTTAACTATCCTAAAATCAGTTTTATCTACAGATTTCTTTAGTTGCTATCCTTCCCTTTTTCCAGATTATTCTTCTGTACATTGAACAGCGTAAGGTTCGTAACAGACTGATCTAGGACCATGCCAGTAACCGTGAAAAATAGTTGTTTCTCTGCACTATTTCGTCTCCTCTTTTACTCAGTTGTTAGTCCGCAGACAACCTTCCCTTCTATCTTAGTCAGTTTTGTTTCATTAAGACTGCTTTGTAGTAAATCTTGAAAATTCAAAAGCACAAGAACCAGACCATGCTTGGGAGGTGGCTATTATCCAAAATTATTTTGGGTTCTCTCAACAGATGAAGATAATTAAACAATTAATTTCCTAATTGGTCAGTTCTAATCACTTGATGAGGCTGATGGGCGAGGGGGCATCACTTAATAGGATAGTCTTTAGATTATAAAGTAATCAACAGTCCAAGAAAAGGAAAACCAGAGAAGTTCCTACATCCTACAGGAAAGAATAAGCCCCTTAAGCTCCTGAGATGATGTGAAGCAAAATAACAAAATCAGGTATTTTGTTTATCTATATAGATCTATATATGTTTGTGTGTATTAGATTGTCTTCACAATTCTATGTTTCTGTGTGTTTTTGTCATTGCTTATTATAACAGAGTTGAAATATTACCTTGCAAAAAGAGACTCTTGAGAAAAATCACGTGCAAGTTACTGGGGAAGGTGGAAGAACATCTGCATTGTGATACCCTATGATTATGAAGGAAAGATATGGAACCTAAGTCCAGGAAGGCCCTGCAGAAGCTGAGGGAAAGGACTATCCTGTGGAAGCTTGTGAGCACATTGTCTTGATAAGTCTCACGCAGGCACATAAACCTCACCAATCTCCTGCTAGGGAATTAGCTCCCCTGTAATTAGTATCTAAATCTACTTCAATGTAAAGCCTGTTACTGCTCTCTGAGTTTGACACCCCTAGTGTGCTCTGCAATAACTTACTTAACATATTAAAGACTGAGCACTAGTCTGGGAGGCATTCAGAATGTTCTAGATAGACAATGATGAATTCAAAAAAGCAAAGTTAGCCTGGAGCATTTTAGTTTTATTTCACCAGTACAGAAAAAATCCTCAGTACTCAAAAACAGGCTATTGACACACAAGACCTTCTGATTACCTAGGCAGGAGTGATCCCATGCGCCAGTACAGGCTGGGGGCTGACCTGCTGGAGGGTAGCTCTGCAGAGAAGGACCTGGGAGTGCTGGTGGACAACAAGTTAAACATGAGCCAGCAGTGTGCCCTTGTGGCCAAGAAGGCCAATGGTCTCCTGGGGTGCATTAGGCAGAGTGTTGCCAGTGGGTCGAGGGAGGCGATCCTTCCCCTCTACTCAGCCCTGGTGAGGCCTCGCCTGGAGTGCTGTGTCCAGTTCTGGGCTCCCCAGTGCGGGAGAGATGTGGCGCTCCTGGGGGGGAGTCCAGCGGAGGGCTACCGGGATGACTGGAGGGCTGGAGCGCCTCTCCTGTGAGGGGGGACTGCTGGGCCTGTTCAGCCTGGAGGGGAGAGGATTGGGAGGCGATCTCATGGGTGTGTACAAGTATCTGAAGGGGGAGTGTCAAGAGGATGAGGCCAGCCTCTTCTCCGTGGTGCCCAGCAACAGGACAAGAGGCAAGGGGCAGAAACTGAACCACAGGAAGTTCCACCTAAACCTGAGAAAAAACTTCTTGACTGTGAGGGTGACAGAGCATTGGCACAGGTTGCCCAGAGAGGTAGTGGAGTCTCCTTCCCTGGAGATATTCAAAACCCGTCTGGATGTGATCCTGGGCAATATGCTCTAGGTGACCCTGCTTGAGCAGGGAGGTTGGACTAGATCATCTCCAGAGGTCCCATCCAACCTAAACGATTCTGTGATTACTAGACACCAGAAGTAACTCTTAACTGAGTTACCTTGAACTTACATGGTGTGCTGTCCAAAGCAATCTATTTTTAGTTCAGGAACAAGAACTACATAAATATTCTGAGGACCTGTATTGGGAGACTTATTAAAGGAAGACTTGCACAGAAATCTGAGGTTAAAAATCAAACTATTTCTAGGTTGGGATGCTTGCTGATACCAACGGTTAGGTTTAAAACGAGAGATTTTTGGCATTTTGCGCTAATACGTTGAATCTCTAACTTCATGCTTGCTTTAATGTAGTAAGAAACCACACAAACCTGCTTTTACCATGCTAGAGCCAAAGGGACAGATGTGCACCATGCCTTTAGCTTAGCTAGCAAATGCTGCAATCCCCTTTCCTACTCTATTTCTAGGACAAACAAAAAGACACCATTTGGAGTAGGAATGTGTCTGGAGGATTCTCATTCAAGCACTGTAGCCAAAACATTACTTCATTTAAGCCACTTACTAGAGATCTACAGCACTGATCTGATGAAAAGGTTTTTCCTCAAAAGGCAGGATGTGTGCAAAGGGCTAAGGTTCATGTTTTTGGAAATATAAGCTTAAAATCATATATATGCACCTCTCCAGTGAAATCAATAGTGTTATGCATGTATTCAGCATATGTAACTGAGTCCAAACGTGCTCTTAGAAAGGAGGAAATTTAGATACAAATTCATTTTTCCCATGATTATTCATATATAACCTCATATTTATTTAGGCTTACATAAAGAAGGAAATATTTTCTTCTAACCATAACATAATTTAAGGGGTTTAGAACTTTTTCTGTAACTTCTAAAGAACACCCCTTTTCCCCCCATGCTGCCCCAAAGAACCCATTTCTAACTGGAAGCAAAACCAAAAACTACTGAGCCACAGGAGGAAACCTACCTGCTCCAATTTCACTTCCAACACTTGGAATAATATCATCATCTAGACAATCTGGCAAGTCTCCTTTCTCTAGCTTTTCTTCAATCCTGCTTATTGTTTTTGCTAGAGAAAAATCTGCACACTCCTCTAGTACTGCAACATCATCAGCATTTTGTATTTCTGTGTTTCCTTTTTTTGAACTAGAAAAGAAACTAGATTTTAAATCTACAATACAAAAAAAAAGAAAACGTACTGTATTTGCAATATTTAAGAGTATCCGAAGTCATTTACCTAATGCAGCTTCATAATTCACATGCATATGAATGATGCATCAATGGCAATTTCTCATTTTCTTTACCTAAAATATCCTTTCTGTATTCCACACAAACTCTTACAGGAGTTACATATTATAGGAGGCAGAAAAACAGTACCATATTCAACTAAATTTTAACATGGTTAAAAACATGGTTCAACATGGTTCAAAATTTTAACATGGTTTCTTTCTCATCCAATAACTTCACAACTAAATCACAGTAAGAGAAGGAAACAGAGGAATGTTCTTTTGGACATAGCTCCTATCTTCTGCTGTAAATTCTGTTGATTTTTTTCCCCCTCTCCCTCAGTTGTTTGACTTCTACAGCTGTCCTCTCTAGCTGCACTCCTGTTTTACTAGATACAATTTCTGGATCATTATGCCTGGGCTAGGAAACTTCTTTGATCCTAAACACCAAAGCCTTCATAAGGCCAGCAAACACAAGATAGGTGACATATACCTTATCTGCTAAACATGGTATCTCTCATTCTCTCTTTTACAAGAAGATGATGAATTAGTTCCCCCAGGAGCTGAAGTTCCTAAGTTCTTCTCCCAATACTAACCTCAACACTCCTGCTAGCTCACTTCCTTCCACAGCTAGGGATGAGGTTCACCTTGCAGGTCCTGTACCTGTACAATGCCATTACTAAATCTCATGATGTAGTGCCAGTACCACAGGCTCTCCTGAACTGCCCAGGGAGGCCTAAAGGGTCCACAAATGTTCTAGAGTCCTAAAGGCACACTTGGTCTGTGTCTGTTCCACATTCTCCCATCTTGCAGGCAGTTTTCATCCTATTTGGGTATCTGTCCATGCTTTCTCTTGTGGCAGTTCTATTTTCTCCAGGATTTTCTGTATGATTTCCCTGTTTCTTTTATCCAGAACTCAATTTCTTGCTTTTGCAACCTTGAATTTGCTATCTAGAGAGCTGAAGCTTTTCAGCTTCAAGTGAAGGCCCCTTAATATCTAGCACTATTATTGCTCTCTCCTACCCTGTGAGCCCAAGATTCACCAAAATAGGCCCTCTAAGGTCTAATTATAGTTATAATGCTAATGTTTCCCATCACAAGTCTGGTCACAAATCGGAGTTCTCCTCTACACCACTTAAGTCTGCTTCCTTAGGTTGCCCCAGGCAATGCATTTTCCTAGATGCAGGCATGCATCTCATTGAAACATAGGGTTTACCTGTCAGCTTTAATTGCCTGAGTAGAAAACAAGAGTTTCATTGTTGTAGTATTAATCATATGTGTTCACTAATGATTTTAGGTGTTCTATGCAGGTAAACAGACAGCTACATGATGGAGCTGACTAGGGTGGGGTGGCAAGGTTTGATGCATTAATTTTCACAAATATATATACACACACAAAAGAACTTATGTAATGCAAATTTATACAAATATACTGATAAACGAAAACAGCAACGAAAATATTTCATTACAGATGTGTACAACTAATTACCTTGAAGATGGTCTTTTTTCTCGACTTGCAGAGTACGGTCTGTTCTGTGCCATGGGCATGGAACCACATTTCTTCTTGTTTGGTGGCTACAAAATTTTTCGGAAAGTAGTGGTTTTTCTTAGTTAGGAATGACTTTTTGCTAGTACCTCTTTTCCAATGTTCATATATTCAGACCCAAAGATACTTTTAAAAGTGTGACTGTCAAAGTCTCAGAATCTCAGGAAAGCACAGCTCTTTTCTAGTTTGACTTGTATAAAGCTTTTATCTTGAAAACTGTGTCCATATGTCCAAATTATAATACATCCAATAGCCATTTGCTAGTGGGAGCTTTTGTACACATATGCATGATAAATTCATGCAAAAGCAAGGCTCTCAGTCATTATCAAGATATTAACTATTAGACTGTCAGCAGACTGCATTTCTTTAAACTATGTTTGTTCCCTGTAGAATTCCCTGTAGAAGGAAGATCTAACTATGTGTTTGTAGCTCTTTCCCAAATAAATCATTTTCAGAAATTAACTTTCTCTACCATACTGTGACAAACAATTGAAGACAACATTTTGGAAGCTTCAGCTCACTTCACAAAAGATTCAATCTAATTGTGACTTGAGACTAGTACATTTTATTGGTTTGTTCCTAACTTTCTTTTCCCATTACGTTTCTCTTCTTGTACTGTTATTCTGACTACTTTCTTTATTTTATTTAAAAGACAACAGTACTGCCTTTAGTGTTACACCAGGGAGAGGAGAAGAAGGAGGAACATAGGAGTATGTTCTACTGTTTTGCACTTAGCGCTCTTAACTTGAGGATCTCAAAATACTGAGCCCTTCTGAGAAGATAGGGCTTTACAGAAGAGAAATGTAAAACATAGAAATTAAACAGCTACCAGCACCACAGCCCTCCAAAAAAATCTAGGGTACCTTAGTCCATCTGTCCCTTTACCACTCTGCTTTGAACATCACTAGCTTTTGCCTTTTTTTTTAAATCACCTCCATACATATTATCTATGTAGCATAGCCTCAAAAACCGAAGTAGTATGTGGAAATCACACTGGAACAGGGTAACAACCAGGACAGTTCTGAGTTTAATACCTTGACATGTGAGTGTGTAAAAGAAGCCTCAAGATAGAGTGAATCTCTGCAAAATAAATACACAAAACAAATTAAGTAAAATTCACTGAACTTGGTAACAAAACAAACCTTTTACAGTGAAAATTCCAAATCCTGTCAGAATCAGGAGAATAACACTTTGTGTATCTGGAATAAACAACATAGCTAAGGTGGGCACATACACTAAACTTAATCACAAATCCAGTCCCTTTCTCTGCCTTTCTATCCCATCTCATTTGCTCTCTGAATCACCTGGTGAGTCTGGGGTACTTATTCCAGTAATAGTGCAGTTTACAGGAATGTGAGTCTAGTCCCTAGCAAGTGAGGCGACTGCTGCAACTACCAGGTTAAATCCATCACTTCCTTTACTGAGGAATACTTGCCCAGTATGCAGAGCGTTAACAGCTTCAGGAGGAGAAAGGGACAAACCATTATCAAAGCTCAGCAGTCAATACACTTACCTGACATATTTAAACAAACAAACAAACAAAAAAAACTATATTCAAATTCTCTCTGTGATAGTTCAGGGATTAAGAGAGAAGCCAGTTTTCTGCCTCCTGGGAGGGAGAGCTATGGTATGCTTAGCTTGACTTTTGTCAAGTGAATTGACAGGGACTATCAAGTGAATTAAGAGATGGGAACAACTTATAAATTAAGCCTGACAGAATTTTATTTGAAATACATATAACAAATACTGTATCAATTTTTACAGGCAAAAAAAGGAATAAAAGCAGCTTTCTTATCCGCTTATTTTGTTGAATACCACAGTCTTTAGCTTCTAAACGTCATGTTAAATGTTTACTTGTTTCCAACATATTTTAAAATAATAAAAATTTCAGTATCCCATGTTTTTTTTTTTCTTGCCATATAGATATATATTTTTTTCCTTCCAGAGACTGAGTTATGTGGCTCTATGCTAATGCACTGGAAGGTTAGTTTTGTGTTATCTTTTACATTTTTTGACTATTCAATTAACATGCAGGCCTATAGCAATTCTGTAATAAAACTTAAAATGTAAATATATCAGTCACCTTAATTTCTTGGTCCAGTTGATTTGGACAAATGTTTAGTTTTTGGCCTTTAAAAATCTTAAGGATTTCTGTTCATCAACAAGAATTATCTACACAAAGCTCCAGATGTTACTAATCCAAAAAAACCTAGAGAAATCATCTTTCTGTGGTTGGCAACAGACTTCAAGAATAGAATGATTAGTTTTTGTCTATTTACCCTATTTTCCTCATGCTTCTCCCCTATTGGCTAGCTTTAGGAGTATGCAGAAGACTAGGATTTGCTGCCACATAAATACCAGTTATGTATTACTCTGAAAGATATGAAAATACAACACCCTTATGCTCAAGAAAACAGGAGTATTCTTTCCATCAGTAGATTAATTTGTTCTTAGCATGGCTGTTGGCTCAGGGCCTTCTTTAATTTAAAAAAAAAAAAAATCATTGTTCTCCAAGTTCCTCAAACTTATTTAATCTTAATGGTTTCCTTCTTCCCCATGCATGACAACTTATTTTTAAATTCCTCCAAAGATGGTTGTATAGTCATTTCGTAAGTGAAATTAATGTGTAAAACCTGAAAAGGTATACAAATGAGTAGCTAGTTTCAGTGTCACCACACTCAGCAAAAGCTAATGTTTAACAATTACATCTCTGCATGTAAACACAAGGTGCATGTGCATGAGCAAATCCTTTGTGTTTGCTAATCCTATTCAAGCCTATAGCATGCCTGCCCATGCGCACACAGCTCCCATCACCATGAGCCTGGCAACAGTCCAAAGAGTGAAAGCATAAACAAAAGCTGATCATAATGCAGCCTCACCAGAGTTGCTCTGTGTCTATGCAATTAGTGAAAACTAAACTATAAAAACTACAAAATGACTTTTTAAAAATTACACTAATTAATACAATGACTTAAGTATTCTTGCCTTTTTTAAACTTTGCTTACTCAATTTTTCTATCTTAACCAGTCTTTCACTTTCTGATTCTATTACTTTGCTTCAATTTTTCCCCTCTTTCCAGTTGCTTTAGCATTCGCTCTCCTAAGGCATAGCAATGTAACTGCTTTTAAAAGCAATCTCAAGAGCTTCCTTTAGATTTATGCTTGCACCTTCCTTGTTCCAACCAAAAACACCCCCAAATAAATACTTGGAACTAATCTAATTGAATGGCCTCAATGTTCACTCATTGGGCACACACTTCTAAATTTTCAGTGCAATATGGGATTTCAACTCTTATGTCATGTAAGTGTTTACCACAACAGAGATGGTGGTTAAGACCTTTTAATTTATATAGGTAAATCAGCTGCTACTGACATGCTAATTATCAGCATTTTCCTAATTTTTCAAGCACTTCCATTTTTTTCAAATAGACTCCATCAAAGCTGCTAACTCCCTTTGTAGGGTTGATTCCTTCAATCACGTTGCTTAGTATAGCAGTCCTACAACTCAGCTCTAGTTTGAAGTTCTTAAAATCTTCTCTAGTTCTCAATCCATCTAACAACATAAAATAAATTCTAGGTCTTGTTTTAATTTGCAAAGCATGAATACAGTGAAGACATATGAAGTTTCTTTTTTTTTCCTCCATGGCCAATTGTTTAAGTTTCAAAACAGCTCAGCAATAGTTCCGACTCTAGTAGCAAAACTTTTTGCTGGTATAGGCATGCTTCCATCACAGACTTGCTGTCATACCTTTTTGTGTACTGAAAAATCCTTTTTCAGATGCATAAAAACCTTATTTTTCTTTTACTTTTGTGCAGAGTAAAAGCCATGTCATCTCTAGCAGACTTTCATAAATATCACTTCAAAACAGTCTCCTGACTGCAACTTAATATTTGAAGCAGCTTGTAGTTTGACACTGTATCTTTACTTTTCAGATTAAAAGCATCACAAATTTAGGAACTTAACATATCCAAATCTTTGATAAACTTGGTAAATCTTAAATTTGCCCAATCTTTATGCTATCAACACACGAGCCCTTGAACAGCTGCATAAATAATGTTGTGTATCTTTGGGCTCTAACACGTTTGAATACATAGGCCAAAAAGTGCAATTGTACCTATGTTTATGCAGACCAAAAGGTGTCTTGCCTCAGAAGTGTAATGATACCCAAATTCCAGACGGTGGCAGCTGTCTTAGTGTGGTGGTGTTGGGGTGTGTGTGGGGGGGGGAGGGTGTTATGGGTGTGGGTTTTTTGTTTGTTTGTTTGTTTGTTTTTGGATCAAGCACTTCCCATCCCAGAGAGATTTAGGCCAAGGTAAATTAAAGCCAAAATAACTGGTATCTACTTCATTTTTTTTCAGCTGACCTGGTTTTAAAAAAAACGCTACTCTTTAGCAGATGTTATTTGCAATGCGATCTTTACTTAGGTTTTTACAGATGCCAGCACTACTTAGCCTCATAGATACAATACTTGCAGCAACGTTAAGGCTATTCCTTGAAAAAACAAGGAACGCTAAATTCTTCAGTACTAACTGTTTGAAATAATACATTTTAGACTCCACCAATCTAGGATGCTGCAATGATGGAGGAAAAAGGGCCATGACTTGGGCAAGTCAAGGTGTACAGGATCAGAACCAAAACTTCCCATAAATTATACTCAACAATCGTACAGCACATACCTCTGTCTGTCAGCTTCGCATGGCTCAGTTTGTACTGAAACTGGTCTAGACAGTATCTCCTGTTGGCTTTTCTTTATTGTGGGGGGGGGAAAAAGAAGTCATTTTTTGGGTAATACAATCTGCAATACATGGATTATATATTAGTAAATCACAAGAACTATAGTCTACCATGCTGAAGTGAGCAAGCTGTCATAGAAAAGAATTTCTCGAACACGGGGAAAAAACAGCTAAAACTTAAAATTTCATCGGTATCCTCCAACATTTACTTGTGTTCCACAAGAGGTACTTGCTTCTTGCCTTTAAAACTTTTCATATAACTTAACATCATCTGATGTGCTGATACTCTGCCTCCTTTCTCTGAAATGAAGGAATAGCGAACGCACAGCAGGTAGAACAAACTTTCTTTTTTTGTTTTTCTTTTTTTTTGCACATTAAACCTGAAAAATAAGTCTTTATTCACGCAGTACAGCCATAATTTTCACACTGATAAAGTGCAAGTGCATTAGAGAACAATTCAGTCAATCACTGAATGTTTAGATAGTTTCTATGATACTAAGTTACAGTTAGAAAGCATAATACAGTACTAAATGTAGCTGTCTTGTTCAAAATTTTTAAGAACTTGAGACTTGTTTTTATTTTGCTGTTACACATATATCTGTGCAATCTGGCAGTGCCATGTGGTATTTTAAGTGTCCTAAGAATATTCTCTGCTGCCTTTATTTAAAAAAAAAAAAAAAGGGGGGGGGGGGAAAGGGTGTCCTTGTGTGTGTGTGTGTGTGTTCCTTTTTTTCTTTTAAAAAGACACTAGATGCTATTTGGGATGCTTAGCCTCAGCTTATCACATCTTCCTCAAGAGGAGAATGTTTTCAAAGGACAAAAATGAAGTTTCAAAAGCAGACAAAGAACAGATGAGAATTACAGCTTTCAAGGAGTTTTATAATTTGTTTGTTAAGCCTTATTTGAGGGATTGCAACCCTGTAATATATCTAATATGTGGAACACCTTCCTAGGTCATTACTATGGTAGATTTGACGTTTCTTCCTTCTCCAAACTGTTTTGGATATAAGCCAGACTCTTTTTTTTACTTGCTAAATTTTTTTTATAAAAACTTCACTGTATCTGGTACACAGGCACACCAAAGTTAAGAGGAAATATAATACTGACAAACAAACAGGATGTTTCTTTAAGACAGTTTTCTTTTTACTAACTACATATTTTCCATTTATATTGCTTATTCTTTGCATTTCTTTCAATTTGAACAACGTAAATCCTATTTCACTAGGATGTTATTGCAGCAGTACCTAGTTTTCAAGAAAACCAGCATTTTCTTTGTTTAAAGACATAAAACCGTATCTGCAGAGACTCTTCTTAAATATCATAAAAACACCTACATAATTTCATGTACAGTCTGCACAAACACTTGAAGCATCTATATGAACACACATCTGCCTGATGAAATAATATCAAAGCTATTTCTACATGCTTAAGTTTACAATTTCGAAGAAAAATTAAAGGCCTAAATTTAATTTGAAAACAAAATACCTTTACTTGTCCTGGTCTACATTATTTCTTTTGAAGCTTGACCCTGGTTCACGTGAAGCAAGGCTAAACTATGTAACAGTCTGCAGAACCTACTCACCATTACTTCTTCAGCTTGACGCACCAGCTTTTCTGTTTTTGCTTCTAATTCTGCATTCAGTCGCCTGAAAGAGAGTGAGAATGCTTGTCACTGAGTTTCTGAAAGACTTAAAAGAAATAAATGTGGGCATGACAGTATCTCTGCCTGAACTAAGTGAAATTTTAATAGCTCCTACAAAGGAACACCAAAATATACTTCAGAGTATTAACCAAGTTATAATTTCCTGGGTTGCTGTCAAATCAATAGTAATAAAATGCCATATACATACTAAACGGGAAGGCTTAGAGTATAATCTTGATAAGCCCTTGTTTAACCTGGTAAGTCCTGCTCCTCTTGTCACATGAGGAATACTGAAACTCTAAATTCAATGATAGAAAGTCAAAAGGAATACAATGAATGACGGGAGGGAGGAAAAAAAACTCTTACTAACCTAAATAAGGTGACAAAACAGATACTAATCAGTCATAGTGCTGTTGATCTCTGCCTAATTTTTCCTTATTTCAGATTGTCCTGCAAGTTTGATTCCTTTGAGCGCTGATCTCGCAGGTAAGGAGAACGGGCAGTTCTGTTTGTTTTCTTCCAAAATTACACCTCATTGGGAATTATATTAATATAAAGCAACTACATGCCTCTAATATTACTAGAAACTTGCCTAAAAATAGTAAGTTAGTAAGTAACTTTCCGCATCAGTTTGGACTTGTTCTCACCTTGGCCAACAAAGTTGCAGAAAAATATCTGCAGTCTCTGACAGTCAATAAGGCACACCTTATTTATTGGAAACTGACACTGAGAGACACTTACAGTGATTCCTGAAAGGTGACTGCAACCTTGCCTCCCCCTATTTTAAGTTAAAATTACTTATCCTTTACAAATGTAGCTGTTAAGTAGGCTTATTTTGTCTGCGTTGTGGATATTATGTTGTTTTGTTTTGTGTCAGGATAGGTTTCCTTGAGAAAGTAATACTAATGGGCATATAAAACTAATCCTTTATTGCAAGGGTAATAGGGCAATAACTGAGGTATAGTACAGAGCAAAATTTGGTTCCTTTTTTTCCTCCTCCTTCTAGAGTTTAAAAAAAAGCAATGTTCATGACAATATAGTGGAAGATCTTCTGAGCTAATAATCTGAAAATAATAGCAATATTTTGCAAACAATTGCATATAGCCAAAAGAGCTGTATATGTTTTTTCTGTCATGTCACTGCTTAATGCATATTCTACTTCTTTAACTCCTCAAAGCTTTCTGGTTTTTACTTACAATCTTTACCTGAGGTACATACGTACATGCAGGTAAACTTAAGCTTATGTTTTTGCATGCCTGTTGATGTAGCTAAGTTTCTCCGACAGGCACCACTGTACACTGTTACCATTTACAGGGCTGAGACTGACAGGTAGGTGCATGAGTGCCTTAAAAGGGGACATGGCACACTTTCTCTTCCATAATTTGATATCCCTTCGGCCATCGCCGTATGTCTTGATTAGATACTTGCAATGTAAGTACACAGACTAGTAGTGCCACTGCTCTGAGCGCTGAGACCTCCGACGCGCTGCGCTACGGGCCGGAGCTGCGCACGGCCTGCGCCCAGCTCCGCGGGTAAACGGCAGTAACCGGTGCCCCACCGCGGGGGGGG